CCATGAAGCAGGAAAGATGGGGTGCAGTCTCATTATAGAACTGAGAACTGGGGGGCCAAAAGCCTGGGTGCTGAGATTGTGGCCCAAGGACCAGCAGCATAGCATTAATATCATCTGGGAGCTTGTTTTTAGTGTTGGTGCCCTTGAGATAGTTCGAGTTCATGGAGTGTGATAGAGTAGAACTGCCTTATAAGGTTTTCTAGGTTTTAATTTTCATGGGAGCAGACTCCCCCTTGTTTTCTCCTGCAGACCCACTGATGGGTTTGAACTACCAGCTTTCCACTTAGCACTTAATTCTTAATTTACCCCACACCAGCCCTTGACTGTTAGTCTAGTGTCTACATTTTAACACCATTTGGGTGATTGATGTGCAAATGAAAGTTTGAGAAGCTCTACTCTGAGCCATTACTCTCATCTGTTCTGCAGTTCAGTGCATTTGATTAGAAGTCATTTGTGCCTTTGCTTTTCTTGGTTTTGTTTGCTTTGGTTTTATCATAAATATATCACTTCCTCCTATAGGAAACTATATTGCTGTGGGAAACATGACCCCGGTTATTGAAGTGTGGGACCTTGATATAGTGGACTCTTTAGAACCAGTCTTCACTCTTGGAAGTAAGCTATCTAAAAAGAAGAAGAAGAAAGGAAAGAAGGTAAATAACTTGATAGAGTTTTAAGCTCTAACACAGGTAGACATAAGGTAATGGGGGAGGGAGACAAGAACATACATTTTTCCAGTCAGATGTTCTTGGTGGGATAGAACAGGCAGTTACTAAGTTACTGTCCTTTCTGGTTTCAAAGAGCTAATCCAAGGGCAAATAATTGCTCATTGCATAAAGTCTTTGTTAGCCTGTTACTCTTTCTTACACAAAACAAATGACTCTCAGGTCATGTTCCTTCTTCATGCATAAGTAGCTATTCTCATTAATTTACTAGTTTTGAACTTGTCATATTCCAAAAGGGTGTCCTTAAGAGCTTTGTTTACATTGTTGTTCTTTGTCAACTTTTTTAAAAATAGTAAAGAATAGTAATTTTTAATAAGCATTTACATTCCTAAATATGAATTCTCTCTCCAGTGTTGTTTTTTGTTCTTCTTGATTTAAAAGCAGTTATACCTTTGTTGTTGTTGTTGTTATGTGCCGTCGCGTCAGACCTGACTCATAGCGACCCCTCCTTGGGTTTCCGAGGCAGTATCACTACGGAAGTAGATTGCCCCATCTTCTTTCCGAGGAGTGGCTGGTGGG